GCCCCCCATCCCCCAGCCGGGCGCCGGGCCAGGACCTCCCACTGCCCGGAGCGGACCTCCCAGCGCACGGCAGGCGGCCGACCCACCGGGGCTCCCCCGCCCCGGGGCTCCCCTGCCCCCGAGCTGCGCCCGCGGCCATGGCCTGCCAGACCAGTCTGTGCACCAGCCATCGCTGACCTCCGTGCGCGGAGGGGTCCCTTCCACCACGGCCTGGTCAGTTTGAACCAGCGGATGGCCGGACAACCTGCACTTGTCCCAGCTGTCGCTGTCCTCTGAGTGCAAAACAGAGGTGATTTACAGGGACCTGCTCCCTGTAAACTGACCGGCGGGGGCCCAAATTAACCTGCTGAACAGCTAGGGAACCCCAGTTCTAATCAGTGGTCTGGGCTGCCGCTAACTAGTCTGCCCAGCGGGCGCCCTGACTGACCAGCGGCCTAGAACGGCTGCTCCCACGATGCCGGTCCCTGTGACCAGCGGACCAGTGGTTTGGAACGGCCATTCCAATCTCATCTGCACCTCGCAGATCCTAGTTCCGCCCGGTGCCCCGTGATGGGGGGGGTCACTGCCGGTCCCCCCACCCGACCCTCCCTTTCCGCCCTCTTCTCCTGAGAATCCCAGGAATGCCACCCCCCTTCCTCCTCCCTCTCTTCCCTGCCTTCCTCCAGCCTTGAGAGGAGGGGAGAGGAGCCGAGGCGAGGCGAGCTGGCCAGGGCAGGTGAATGGGGGGAGGGGAGGGCTCGGTGCACCTGGGGCTGCAGGGGAGGGGCTCACCCCTGGTCAGAAAGTAGGGGGGAGTCACACTGAAGGTCACAGGTCACAGGTCGAACCGCCCCAATCCGGTCGGGGAGAGAGGAAGTGAGGGATCCTGGAGGGGGCGGTGATGGGGTGGTAACACTAGTCACCCAGGGAGAAGAAGACCAGGAGGTAATGGACAAAGGGTGGAGTCGCTCTCCTGCTGGGAGAGGTTCCTGAGGCCTCTCGGAGGTTAGAGGGGGGACCAGGTCACATCAGACCCAGAGAAGTCATGTATATCAGCAGTCAGCCCTAGCGCGATTGTCAAACTGGCTGTTCCTCACCCCAGGTTGGGGTGATGCGCTCAAGTTCATTCCACCTCCACGTCGACGTCCAAAGCTGTAAATCTTTGCAGCTTGAGACTGACCAATCCTTCTCCCTCAGAACGACTGATGCCTTCGAACTGCTGCCCAGTTGCATAAACCACTGCACCACCAGGGCTCCTATCCTGTCACACCGAGTTATTCTTAGGTGCCATGATGTAGATGTCCAGTCAGCGATCTTATGTGACAGAGGAGAGCTGTGTCCTCGTAGTCTTTGGAGAGAGGGGCGTCATGTTTGGGAGAGTGGGGGGGGGGGACAGCGCAAGAGAGGAAGACCCTCGATGAGATGGATTGATTCACAACAATCTTTACAGGAGTAAGTAATAGAGCACCAGGGCTTTCTCCCGTAGAGCCGGCAGGTGGGTCCGAACCACCAATCTTTGTGTGAGTAGCCGCCCGCAGTACCCATTTTGCTCCAACAGATGGTTCCTTTATTATACAGGCATACCTTGGACAGACTGCCAGTTCAATTCCAGTCCCTCAACAAAGTGAGTATCCACAGAACAACAAACCACTTTAATTTCCTGGGTTTCCGTGTGCACGCGGAAGTTCTGGTGGGTAGGGAGCTTCACTGCTAACCCAAAGGCAGTGAGTGGCTCCCTGGAGGCTCAAATCCACCCTCCTCGGGAGAAAAAGTGGGCGGTCTCCTCCCCAGAGACGTACAGCCTTTGAAAACCCGCTGGCAGGTCAGCTGTGAGTCGGTTCCAAGTAGATGGCAGTGAATAGAGTTGACCAACGTTATGTTGACACAATACTGCAACGTGCAGCAGCATAATGATCTGTAATGTTGGTTCCCCCCTTTTTAAATTTTTATTAATTTTAATGAAAGTTTACAGAGACTTTGGATTTCCATTCATTACTTGTTGCACTTTTCTCCCTGCCCACCCCTCCCCCACCCCAGCTTGCTCTTCTCTTTGAAAAGTAAAAGAAAAATTCTTTCATTGTTATACAGTCCCTCCCCCCTAGGTCCACTCCACTATGCAGTGTTCTGGACTCCTGTCATGAAAATAATACCCAGTCATATATCCATTTTAAACAGTTTTTCTCCCTCATCTGTTTTAATGCATTATACATTATTTATCCCATCTTTCTCAGTCTCCCCCCAACCCCAATGTCAGTCCCGTTTTATAACAGTGGCAGTATGCAGTATTTGTCCTTTTGTGACTGAGATACTTCACTCAGCATAATGTCTTCCAGGGTCACCCATTTTGTACAATATTTCATAAGTTCCTTGATTTTCAATAGTATTCCATTGTGTGAATATACCACAGCTTCTCTAAACATTCGTTTGTTGATGGGCACTTGGGTTGTTTCCAACTCTTTGCTATTGCGAACAAAGCCACGATAAACATGGGTGTGCGTGCTCTGTAATGTTTTGAGAATGGTTAAGACATGACATAGATGACCCACTGTCAGGGAAATGCCACAGACAGGCTTGCTCAACGTAGGGTCGCTGCACATTTTCAATTTGTCAAAAGTTTGGCATCTGCAAAGCAGAGGCAACTGAGGTCCAAGGCATGCTTGGATGGAGAAGGTGACCTTTGGGTATCAACCTTGCCACCTCCACCTCCAGGAAGCCCTCCATGCTTTCAATCTGGGTCACATGCCCTATCTAGACACTTGCAGCCTGCTGGGCTCTCTCCCTTCTCAGCTCTGCCCACTCTGGGTTGTCACTCTTTGAGGTCTGCTCTGGACTGTGAGCCCGGGAAGTCCGGGTCACCTTTGTGTCCCCAGCACTGCCCAGCACAACCTCAGGGGACAGAGCAGGTGTTGGGAGAAAGCTTGCAAGAATTAAAGAACATACCAGCTTCTGGTCAGACTCCACCCAGATTAGATCATCACTGGATACACAGGAAGTAGAGCCAGCCTCGCTCTCAGCCAGCCAAGGGCTCCCTGCACAAGCTCCCCCTCAGCCATGCCACCCTCCAGCTTTCACACCTGCTGCCCTGGCCAGAATGGACACTGGTGGTGTCCCATCAACCACCTCTGTTCCCCTTTCCTCAAAAACCCAACCAGTAAAGCTGCAGGTGAGAGAGAGAGAAGGGATAAGTGGAGTGTAACTGAAACATCTACAAAAAAAGCAGCACTCAAGGAAACAAAGGATGTATTTCACTGGGCAAATTTGCTGCCCAGGATCTCTCTAAAGTGAGAAAGAGCAAGGACGTCAGCTTAAAGACTAAGGTTCCCCTGCCCCAAGCTGTGCTGTGTTCCATCCCTTCACACACATGTGAAAGTTGAGCAATGCATTAAAGACCAAAGAAGAATCAATGCCTTTGCATCGTGGTGCTGGCAAGGAATACTTAGTCTACATGGACTGTCAAATGAACAAACAAATATGTTTTGGAGGAAGTGCAACCAGAGTGCTCCTTAGACTCAGGGATGGTGAGACTTTGGCTCACATGCTTTGGGCATGTCCTGAGGACAGCCAGTCCTTGGAGAAGGACACCATGCTGGGGGAAGTAGAGGATCCATGAAAGTGAAGAGGGCCGACGATGTGGTGGATGGAGACAGTGCCTACCCGGGCTGGAGCCGAGCAGACGTGACGAGAACAGTGCAGGATCGTCCGGGGTTTCCTTCTGTTGTACACGGGGTCGCTGGGAGTCAGGGCTGACTGGACTGGACGGCACCTAACGACAACAATAAAGGAAGAAGGAATATATGGAGGAGAAAGAAGCCTTGGTGGCATCACAGGCTATACATGGTAGGCTGCTAACTGTGTGGTCAGCAGTTCAAATCCCCCCTCTAACCTCAAAAGAGAAACACCTGAAGAGGTAACCACCTAGAAAACGCAAGGGGGCCGTTCTGCTCCCTCCGATAGCGGACGTGTCAGAACTAATTCACGGCACACACAGTATGAGGATGCTGTTGTTTTTAAGTGCTGTCAGATTGTTTCCGGCTCCTAGCGACCTTATGTACTGCTCTACCCGGTCCAGCCATCCCCGCCATCACCGTTGCTGCAGCCGCTGTCAATCCACATCCTTGAGGGTCTTCTTTTCTGCAGACCCTCTACTTCTACCAAGCACAGTATCCGTTTTCCAAGGACTGACCCCTACGTTGGGCACTAAGGTTCTCCTGACCTAAGCTAGCCTCTTTTCAATCTTCTCTTCGGCCAGACAGTGAATAAGGAGACTGAAAGAGAATCAATACCTCTGAGCTGTGATGTTGGCAAAGATAAGGGCCGGGAGTCCTAAGTGCCAGCCAGGGCCTCTGTGGACTTGATGAAATGGGGTAGCATCATTTGCCCTCACTGACGACAATGTTTTCCTGTCAAATGCCCAGAGGGATGCCTTTAAAGTGTGACTCAGGGCATGTCATTCTGCTCAGAATGTTCCCCTGGAAGCCTCTGCTTCCAGAACAGAGGCCACTGTTCCTCACCAGCTCCCGAGAGCATCCCTGCTATCTCCTCTCTGACTTTATTGCCCACTTTCTCCCCTCCCCTTCCAGACTCCCTGATTTCACTCACATCCACCCAGCCTCCAGGCTGCTCTTTCCAAAGTTCTTTCCAGGTTCTTTCAAAACCTCCAGCCTCCAGAGCCTTTGCCTCCAGTGTTTTCTCAGCCAAGACACACCCTCCTTCCTTCCCCATGGCCCCACCTGGCTTCTCAAGGCTTCTCTCTCATCACCTTCCAATGCAGCTCCTCTCCACCACCCTGCCCCCCCCTTCTCTGACTTCATTTTTTTTGTCTCCAAAGCATTTGGCACAGACAGAAAGGTCGTGTTTAGTTTTATTATTATTAT